TTATATCTCTGGTGTCGAATGGCGGAGACATGTCTCACTCGTTCGCAGTAATTTGCGCCACCTCCCGCGGGCGCGCCCTTTTACCACGACGCGGCCGTCACTCGGTACCATTTCCACGGACCGCGATGTGTTTCAGCGGCGAGACTGGTGAGTTGACAGCCGACGAATTAACGGCGATCAATAACATCGTGGCGGTCAATCGCGGTCGAATTCCATGCTCGTGTTATACGCAATATCGCGGTCGACGCGTGGCCGCGAGAAATTAGCATAATTTGCCTCGCGGCGGCGCGGCGTTGCTCTCTGTTGTTTCATCGATAAAAATAAACATTGTCGAAATCATTTGACTCGCGCGCGTATTACGTTAATTAACAGATTTTATTCATCAGTTGTAAATTATTGTTTAACAATTTCAAGCTTCGCAAATTGACTCGTTGAAATATGCTTTAACGGAATTGATAGCATTTTTTTCTCAAGAGTTTTAAGCTTTTTTTTTGTTTTTGTTTTTTTTTTTTTTAACAGAGCGATGCGGGAGCTTTCTGCTCCATGTACGGTTGTACGTACACGGAGTTGATGAGATCGCGAAAGCGATTTCCAAGAGCGGGGGACGCTGCTCTTACCGTTGCGTCGTATTTCACAAGCACGGCGACGCCGGTCCGCGTTTGCAAGCACAGCGACGACGCTTTCGAGATCGAAACAAAACCGAAATAGTAATACCCGTGAGTGCGAACGGGACAGAATTTAGCGCACGGGCGTACAGTCGCAAACACCGCTACCTATACACGATGCTTGTAAATGGGATTAAGACGAATGGCGCCTTAGTTTACCGCCGCGACGCTGTCTCAGAACGTACGTTTCCGTTGCGTCGCTTTCATTTTGCCGGAATTACGCCGGATGTACTGCAGATTGCGCCGCGGGAAAAGGGTGATTAGCTATAAGAGCACGACGCAAGTTTCTCGATTGTAGTTTCGATTTTCCGAGAGAGAGCACGGAGATAGGGGCACACGGATTATCCCTCCGTTCCGTTTCTTGTAACGTCGACAGACACCGATATAGAGTTGCGCGTGTACATCAGCGCGACGTCTTGTAACTTATCTTCTTTCCGTGCGGTATATAAAATAAACCGATAAGATACAGAAAGTCCCCTCATGACTTGATTATTACTGTTGGCAATATCGAGAATCGCGACGGTTTCAAAGATTAAGCACCGGTTGTGCTGAGCTACAAGCTTTCTCCGCGATTTCCCGCACACTTCAGACACGAAAACTCATTAATTTGTAATTAAAATACATTGAAAAAAAAAAGTTTTGTTGAGATAACAAAAATTTGACAAAATCAAACCGAATAAAGTGTTCTGGAAACCAAAGTTTGGTAATCTCAACAAAACTGTTTTTTCAGTATATGTCAATATCATTTCCCACCATGAGGTCTTTATTTTGTCCGACAAACAATATCGAGAAATTTACACAACCCTCATTATGCTTCTCGACGAAATATCGTTTTTTATTTTTATTTTCAAAATTTACCGAGTTCGCGTAATGAACAAACAACATAAAAGCAAACAATATCCGCGTACTTTGGAAAAAAATGTAATTTCGACCTTTTGCACGGTTTATTTTACGCGACTGCGCGATGCGTTGAAAAAAACTCTACACGTCGACGTTATCGCTTTTTGCATATTTACGACCAAGAAAAATCGCAACATCTTGTAACACGCAAAGAAGGCAAAGAAGCAAAGCGTGACGTAAAAAGGCGGGAAAAAAAATCTCTCTCGAGTGATGTGTTTGGCGGCATGTAAAAATGCTTCGAGTTTAAAAACAATCAGTGGTCAACTAGCATTTATATATGTATTTATGGATATATTTATACTTGATATGCAAAATGCAGTTTTTGCATGCATATATCAATCCGTTTTATCGACGACATGAATGTCGAACGAAGCGGTTTCCACTTCGCGCGGTACACTTCACAAGCTCCGATAAAGAGATTTGCAAATCCGAAATCCTTTGATCCGCATTTGAGACAAGTCGGCCGCGCAGTTTCAACAAACGCTTCTCTTCTCGAGAACCCGCTTAACAGCGCGAAAGGAAGAGGAGGGAAAAGATAGGGTCGATTCGAACCGCCAGCCGGAAAGTCAAAACTGCTTGAGGAATTTCCCCGACATCTGGACCCTTTCTTCGCGTTCAGTGATTGAATCGTCTTCTTATCGCCTGCGCTTCACCTCGCGCGCTTCTTACGTGCAATGTGTTCCGATCCGCAAGCTCGAAATTGCGAACAACCACTCCCGAATCCGTGATTGATGGAATGTGTTCAATACACGTATATGTGTGTGTGAGAAGAAACAAGAAGAAGTATGTATTATTTATTACGTACTCACTTGAGTATCACTTGGCTATTATTGAGGTCAATAAGAAATAAATTATTACAGAACGTATTGTGTGTGTTCAAGTATTTCAAATATTAAACAAAATCTCTAGCTAAAACTTTACTCTTGTATCGAGAATAAAAAATATGTAATTTTATATATATATATATATATATATATATATATATAAAGGGTGTATCACAAGAATGTATTTTAAATTTATATCTTTTTTTTAAATCTGTTTGAAATATATATAATTATATCTCTTTAAAATAAATACTGTGAAAAAAAATATACGTAGTAGACCATTAACAAATATATGCAACGGTTAAGCGATGCGTGGAAGAGTAAATGAATGGTTTTGTATTGTGCTCTTTTCTTGAAAAAAAAAAAAAGAACAATTTCTCTGCGAGCTAACATAAAATTGGAATTGCAGTCTTTCATAACATTTTGTACAGTTATTTTACAATTTTCATTCACATACGGGATTTTATTTCTGCTGTGTGCGCGAGAGAATACAATTCTTTCTTTTTTTTGTTTTTATTATTTTACGCTTGCTCTTATTCTCTTCTTTTCTCATGTACGTTAATTCACAATACTGCCAACTAAGAGCAAAAATCTGTTTTATTAAAAAATACACTACACAGCACAATCAAGGATTTTTTTCAAAATACTATTGTTTTCGTTAGTTATATCGAGCGTATTGTGTTATAAATTTACTAGAATACGTAAACTAATGCGCAACGCGTCAAATTTCAGCGATTTAAAATGTTTAAAGCATTTTTCACCGCATTTTAAATAAATGGCACGAGATTGTCGCGCGATGTCGGTCAACCAAATAAAAAACGACGAGAAAAATACTGAAAAATATATATTACATTTATAAATGAATACGCGAAACATAACCGTTATATGTACTTGGCATATAACATTTGCGGACTCTTTTTATTATTGTTGTTACTAGTTTTATTTCGCGCGTATATGTATATGAAAGACAGTCGTTTCGCGCTCGCGAAAATCACGTAACGTTGTACCTAGTATCCCAATGCGTGTAACAACGCAATTAAGCGATGCCTAGATTTCCGCCACGAATGTAAGCTGTCTGTATTATCATTCAAGATCGATCTAACCTCCTGCGCACGAACGAGATTACAAGCCGCTGTGCTATCTAGTTAACAGCATAATTCGCAGATTCCACTTCACGTCTTGTAAGACAAAGGTTAATAGCATCTAAGTCTGACTCCTTTGATCGCGGGTATCTAATCTGACATTAAATATACCAGCACGATTGCACGCGTTGCGGTTAATGGACTCCGAGATCTACGTCGTCCGAGGTATTTAGGAACAGAATTAATTTTCCCGCCGATTACTCGCGAATAAACCTCAAGATCGTCATCGTTCCATCATTTAACGTATTCTGATTTGACAAACATGTTTCGGAGTAGTGTGAGTAATTTTTTTTTTAATTTCAATTTTAGGCCTTTCTATACAATTATATTTGTTATACATTTCATAAATTGAAAGTATCCTACCAGAAAAAGCATGCGTAAATAATCACGATCGATTCTATCGATCTTGATTGTTGCCGCCATCTCGACGCTGATCGGACGTTTCTCGGATGTGTTTCTCGATTCATGTCGTACGAATCAAGAAGCACGGTACTACCTCGCGCGACTTCGTCACGCGTGTCTTTAAAAACGTAACTAAAATAAAGTCACGTGACAGTGAGGAGAGAAAAAACAACACGTGACTAAAGTACATTCATGTGATTTTAGTCACGTGGTGTTTTTTCATTTTCCCTTGTCACTCTACTTTAGTCACGTTTTTGAACACACGTGACTAAATACAGTCACGTGACTTTAGTCACGTATTATTTTTCCGCTCTTCCCTGTCACTATTTTTTGATTTTGATTTTTATGCGTTATTTCTGACATCTCTCATATGTACATCATGTGTATGTGGTTTGTAAGACGTATATACTAGATGTCATCGCGGTGACAGGTTCACTGACACTACACGTTAAAATAAAACCAATAATAGCGTGCGCGTCGCGCGCGCCTGTGTTGTGCTAGTAAATATATAAAAGACTAATTGAGTATTAGTTGACAGAAACAACATTGGCATTATTTTGATTGGATTTGTAATGAAAATGTTCGTTAGTTTCGCTTGGCGCGTATCACGGCTGACACATCGAGACAAATCTAAATAACGAGACAGAACTACGCGAAACGTCAGTCGTTGTTATTCTCGCTCGTTACGATAACAGCCTTTATTGCGCTCTGAAGGCTCGCATATAATTAACATACTAATTAAGAATAATACAGTCAACCTAATTGTAATATAATAATTTTGTGGCGTATTGCTTAATGCGCGCGCGCGATTTATTTCACTCACTCGCCGGGATGTTATTAAAGCGCGACCCTTCATGATATTTACGCAACTTATTTACAAACTCATTTGCGACAAATAGAGAGAAATATAAGCGTTATATGTGTAGATATTAATTGATCTCGCAATTTGTTTGTGTTAAATCTTTTGAACTTTGTTATTTTGTTTATTCACTTTCTAGAGTTTGACACGCACAATAAGCAAAAGATGATAAGTAGATAATAAAATACGGAATATATGTAACAACGTGTAACACTTTATTATATCAGACAAAGACACACAATTGAATCTTATACAATCTTATTAAGATAGATGCAATCTCAATTCAAAAATATCTGACAGAACTTAATTATATCTAAAATACAAATTTTTAAATTAAAAACTAATTTTTTCATATTGTTTTTTGGTTTTCTTTTTGCGTGCTATGTGTCACGTGCACCGCAAAACGAAACGTGACCGCGATAAAAATAAAAACGATAAATTCGATGAGTCGCGATACAATCGATACGTCATTTCTTTAAAATATTACGACGCATCAGAACTATAATAACCGAACTACTCAACCAAGACAATCCGTTTATCCATCATCGTAATACAGTTTGGGAAACGAACGTGATCTCTCACGTTCTTACGACATTTTCTCGCAAACGTCGGCTTTCTTCTCCTTCGATTCGTCGTTGAGGTCGTCGGCCACACGTTTCTCGCGAAAGTACACGAGACGGGTCAGCATCGAGACAATCGTTGGGATCTGCTTCTTGTCGTGATATCTCTCGTTCTCCGGCACGTACGACTGGTACTCGATGGCGACGCGCCGGTTCACGAAGGTCATTAGGCAGAGTAGATCGCGGTTACGTCCGTGGAGGTCCAGTTCCTCACAGAGAGCCTGTATGAACCAGGAGCCGCAGTCCGGATTGCGCCACGAGTAAAAACCTGAAAGTCGTAACACGCGTTTTACTCCCGAGAGCTCGTAGTGGATTGGTTCGCTCGCTACACACGGTAATGAGATACACGTCGCGCAAGCGTTCGCGAAAATGCATACGATGCTCTCTCTCTGTCTCTCTTTCTCTCTCTCTCTCTCTCTCTCTCTCTCTCTCTCTCTCGATACGAGCTCTCGACACAAGGTGGACGCGCCAAGTGAATAATCCTTCGCGTGAAGTGAGACGGCAACATGAGACCGAGTGGAAATTTGACACGTTAACCTACGCGCATATATTTAGGTCTTTATCATTTGCACGACGATTAACACGTAGCTGCTTAGTTTTAACGTATCAAAATATCAAAGCGCGATTTCCGGTGAAAAAATATTTTATCATGAAATATGAAACTTTGGAGCGTAACGGTAATGAAAACACAAAGTATTTCGCGTATGGTTTATGTAACACCTTCTAAAAAAAAAAAAAAAATTGAAATTTAATTTATTAAAGCTTACAGCGTTGTTACTTTTTTACAGAATAGATTGATAGATTTGTTACGATTACGATTTAACCGTGCCTCTAATAAAAAGTTGCTGCTTCTGCCGGGGCAATAAGTTTAAATTAATTTTAACTTTCCGCGCGTACGCGGCCAACCGCCCGCTCTTCTCTCGCTAATTGTGTGTTGCACGGAACTGATATATATTTTAACCTGAAATTACAAAGTTAGGTGTTGTAGTTGCACTCAAACTTCTTAGAAAAGCGGCGTATTCTACATTTAGATAGGCATCACGTTTTAGACATCGTCTAACGGTGTGAGATTAAGCGGAGCGACACAAGAGCGACTACAGGATTACTCGTTCTTGAGATGAAATGGAATTTTCTTAAAAAAAAAAAAAAAAAAAAAAATATTCACTCGAGTCTCACGAAAAACTTGTGCAAATAAAATGTTTGTTAAATTTTGTTCTTAGAAATTTATTTTGTTACGGCGCCTCTTCATCCGATTATTCAAGTACGGCTCGAAAATACTATTTACGATTCGCAATCAACGTTCTAATTTATTTATAATTAGAATGACGATTATAGCATTGAAAACAAAAACCATAATTACAAACAAAAATCGACGAATTTTTGAATTTTGCACGCAGTTTCTGATTAAACACAAGGCGGAATTATCGCAAGTAATAGTTTTTGCAGCACTTGCTTGTTTAATCTACCCGCGGACTCTGCATCGGTGCTGATTAGCGGTAGTGCCTATTAGTTCGGGATTAGATCATTCCACTTCTCCGTCTACTATACAGGTAGGAATGCAAATCCTCCGCGATTCCGTAATCTAGGATTACTTTACGCTCTTGGCTATAACAGATGCACATCCGGATCTTACTCGGGATCGTTCAACAGTTCCGCTCCCTTATTTCGCTGTGTGTGTGTGTGTGTTCCTGCTTTTACTCCGATAAGAGCTTATCATCAACCTTGACGTGAGCATATTGCGATCGATTTTCCGGCATGTATCCTTGTAAAATGATGCTGAAAAAAACTTGTTACCCAGATGCGCGTTACGTCCCCGTGGTAAAAGACACATTTGAAAATTATGCGATATTCAAGGCGGATTCCGCGGCGCTGATAAATCGCAGAGACGATAAAAACGAGACGGTATTTAACTGTCGCGGCGTTTTGGGATTCGTTGTGTACGCCGAAACAATAGGTTGCATTGTGCATTACAAATTGTCTCAAGGGAAAACACGTTGTTAGAATAAACAAAAACTATGTTTGCATCTACTTACCGTTCGAGAATATGTAAGAGGTATCGATTTCTGTTTTTTTTTTTATATATTCTGACAACGTGTTTTTCTTAACTGACGTATACAAAACGTGCACGAGATTCTTATTGCATAACATCGTTTCGTCTTTGTTACCGGCATAAAAGTACTTCTCTAACAACAATACAAGTATTTTCTTCTTAAAGCAAATAATTTCAACGCGATGCAATTAAAAAACAAAATATTCTTTATTGGACGAATTTTAACTCCACATCTGTAAACCCTGACACGTATGTCCGACGCGACGTTGTTTATTAGAACGTTGCAAAAAATCTGTAAAAATTCATAGAGTTTTCAACATTCGAAATTAAGAAAATAACGTTAGTTCGAGTATTGTTTGTTTTGTTCTCTCTCTCTCTCTCTCTCTCTCTTTGAAAAATATACCGAAATATATTTTATTTTCAAAAATCGCTCGGACGAAGTTCAGGGATTTGCGGGATTAAAATTTGTTAAAATGAACAAAATGCGATACAGAAAATATTTTACCGCAATATTTTACAACTGAAATTTTATTGCGTTTTAAAGTGATTATATTTAGAAATTAATAATTTTTATCACCAACTGTAACGATGTAATCGAGCGTTAATAATATTATACAAGAAAACGCTGCGTAAGCAATCGCATAAATATCTCGGCGTTAGACGGACGTACAACAAGCAACACTCGATGATGTATTACCCGTATGTTCGCTCCCATAGCGAAGTGTTAAATGCACGTCCCTTATCGCCATCGGTATGTTAACTATGCGCTTATCTCCTACGTGGCATATTAATGACGTCTTTAGCACCGAGTCAGGTGTTATCCGCGAATTCAGTGCCATCCGCGTCATTAACAATACGTCCACTTCTGATGACGCACGTTAGACGAATGCGTGCGTACATCGATGCGCAAATTGTTTTTGTGCTATTATAACAACAACCGCTAATTATTACATTATATTTCAAGTCGTTCCGCGATAACGCGATTTCTGAAATCGGAATTTATATAAATTCTTTTTATTCAAATCGAGATTCATATAATTCTTTTCATTCGGATTCATGAAAATGCGTCCGCGTCATATTGCGTAAAATATATTGCATTTCCAGACATGCTTCGAAATAAATAAATTTATCGCTCAATCAATGTGCGCGCACGCTTAACGACGTGTTGAACTTTAAATATGATGTGAATAAATACGTCGAAAAATTGTCACATTTTAACTGCGTTTAATTGATTCGCGCTCGAGTTACGGATTAATCAGCTTGATATCGATTACACGCGCGATTACGACGCGTGTACATACACACGAAAAAAAAAAAAAAGAAAATAAATAACACGGATCGCAACGTGAAAAGGCGACGTAAACGGGCCAATATAATCGCACATGAGTGAACATATCTTCTCTGTTTCTATTATAAACAAATCCTGTTTGCCGTGCTCGTGTAATACGTCGGACGGAGTATATATTCGCAAACATCATTCCGCGGAATACACGCGGTATTACATAAATTCTGTTTGTTCTCTTTAATCGATGTGGTAGACGTGAGCAAAGTCGCGAGCTGCAGAGTAAATTTTGCAACGTGTTCCAGCAAACGCGTTATTCGTAATCGTATTAAATTCTACTCTCTTCGAAGAGTAGTATATTTTAACACGTACATACGTGTAGCGATTTTTGTACATGATTTTATTAAATTCAGTCAATAAAGCGAACGCGTCAATCTTCCGGCAGTCAATTGAACGTGTAAATCAGTGTTTTTTTTTTTTTTGTTTTCATTAATCGAAGAAGTATGTTATCTGCTGCATCTCTTTGTCAGCTTTCGAAAATCATATTTATTTCTTGCGTATGCGCGAGAAAAAATGTCACACACACGCGTTCCAGCTCATGCAGTTGATCTGACGATCGCTTTGAGTATCCTCGCCGACGCTCAACGACCATTTTTCATTAATCCAATTTCGCAGGTTTCGCGTGGTATGCTTTGCGCACTATGCGAAATTTTTGTCTAGCAACCTGCCAACGCGTTTGTTGGTTCGCCGAATGTCCTTCTTTTTTTCCTCTTGATGCTTTTTTTTGCGAATTGTCGGACCGCCGCTCGCAATAAATCACCCCTCTCTCCTCTTCACCCTTCCGCCAAACTGCGATCGTAACAAAGTTCACGCCGTTCGATTCCGAATTTAGGCGAATCTCAGTCAAAAGTTCGTAATATTTCTTTCAGTTGCCTTCTGTGTATTCCCACGTATATTGCCGGGTGCGTCGGGTTTGCAGAAGTTTGAATTATCGCGCAGTCCCAGCCCGAAATTGCATTTAAACCGTTATTTCGAACTTCCGCGAGTGACGTCAAAAAGACATGAAGAGCGCAAAGAAGAAATATAAAAAGAAGTTTTTCGGAGCAGCAGCGTAGAGAGAAATGATTTTTTTTGGTCGAGTTGTGAAAACAATGCGATATTGAAAACTAGGAAACTGCAGTGCAAAATTGCAGACCGTCAAAAACTGGCTTGTGCAACGATGAAAATGTACTAGATTTTCACGAAGTAAAAATTTTATGTGACACAAAGTACGTAAAATATCCCGTAACAGTGTTCCGGTGCTTCTATAGGTTCATTGTATTAAACTCTGTGTAACGTAGTTTCTTCGTTGACGCGTGTTTAAATTAGTAAATTTAAAACACGCGTCAACGAAACGTACACGTCCGTCAATGTTTTTTTCGTTCAACACATCGTGTAATAAATAATTTCTATATTTGCATATTGGTATAATTACAATCACAGCAGCGCAGTTTCTACAATGTATATCTTATTAATAAATAAGCATATATAATTATAAAATTATTACGGCATGCGTGTAATAATTGTTAATTTATCTTTATATTGTATAAAGTCATAGGGAAATAATGACCGTGTGTATGTACGATTTATTATTTACATGTTGAATTTACCATTGCAATTACTCCGATTTATTTAGTTACTATTTCGCTGATTATTATTTTATTGATATATATATATATATATATATATATATATATATATANGGGAAATAATGACCGTGTGTATGTACGATTTATTATTTACATGTTGAATTTACCATTGCAATTACTCCGATTTATTTAGTTACTATTTCGCTGATATATATTTTATTGAGATATATATATATATATATATATATATATATATATATATAATATTATGTGATTCGCGTTCTCTCATTTTGCTTGTAGAATTGAAATAATGAGAGTTTAAACGGATTCCGGTGTGACTTTGATGTATCGAATTAACGGTCAGTAAGTGTGTGCGAGTTAAAATTAAAGAGAAAACGCGCCGTACAATATTTTCATGATCTGATATTATATACAAAAGGCGATGAAAGAGAAGCGAAAAAATTGTATCGCATGAAACTTGGCCGCGAACAGCTCGAATGGTCTTAAAATAGCCGCCCGGACGAGCTTGGACGCTATCCAACTCGAAATCGTGGAATATTCCCGTCTCCCCACAAAAATGCTACATAATATTTGTTTCGTTTTACCACAGAGTGATCCTTGAAAATATTATTTCATTTTTCATCTCAATATATACGCCTCTTTGTTTTTTTTTTTTTTTTTTTTCGAATACCGCTAAATAATGAAAAACAATATCGATACATCAATTTGCGCTCGCGCGATGTTTTAGAAAATTGTGTATTTTTCTCTCTTACTCTCTCATCGAAACGTGTCATAAAAATACTTTGGTGCAATTCGTGGTTTATTTCGATTCATTGCACAGTTCTTTCTGCGCGTATTTCATTTGACGCAGATGGTTTTGCCGATACAAATACCGGGGAATTTTATCGTTTTAGATTACCGAGAGTTGTTTCGCGCGGCGATTCGCGGTTTGTCTTGAATTGATATAAAACAAACTTTTTCTGAGTCTTCTGAAAACGCGAACTCGAAAAAATCACACATGCGCGACACCGTGTCTCGTTATTACATGTGTTTATTGTCACACGTGACTCAAACTCCATCTTGAAGCGGTCACGCGTCAAGAACATTTCAAATTTGTATTTCAAAATAACAAGAAATCGCGCAAGGACGTCGCGCAATCGAGCTGTTGTACGTATAATATTTCATTCTATTGGATAACCGGTCTAAGACGACAGCTCGAGTTCAGTATTATACGAGCGCGCGCGCGCGCGTATCGATTTATCAGCTGACTGATTGAAGTTCTCACTAGACATCGGCGTTGTAACATCGGCGCGCGCTACTGTCAACACAAGTTCTCGCACTCCATTAGCAACAACAGATCAACTGTTTGCACAGGCGGAAATCGCTTGAAATGTACACGTTCGCATTATACAACAAGAACGATCCGACCGATCGCGCGCGCGCGCGCGCTATAGATACGTTTCAGATAGTATTTTTTTCTTTTCGAAAAAGTAGTTTTCGGAATTGTATAAACTAGAGTGGAGATGATTGAGATAAACCGGAAGTACACCCGGAACTGTTTTCGAAACTTTTGATCGACTGCAACTCACTTTTGTTGAAATGTAGCAAACGTAAAAATTTGTATAAATCGCTCTGAATATATAAAATCGGCCGTCGAGAGTTTACGTCTGAAAATTACGTAATTACACTACGTGTTGCGCAAATTCCATATTTAATTATATGGAGCATCATCGTGCGAACGACGAAATAAACAACAAGCGTGTTGTTCCGAACGATGCGAAAATGATTGATATAATAATAATTGAAAATTTCAAAGTACATCCGGAAATACGTGCAATCGTATAGATACCGCGTGTGTTGCAAATAATATTCACGTCCGTTAACGAGATTCCGTTTCGGAATGCAGAAGTACGTGTGACAGGAACGCGAATTGTAATTGAGGAATTGACGTAGATTACCTATGCATCATGCGCGCTTATACGCTCGCGGAGTCTGTGTTATTCAACAAAATAAGCGGCTTATAGAACGGTGCTATAGAAATCCGTGTGCAAGTAACACCGCTTAGCTCACATTTGCCGTATCCGTTCATTGTTTGGTAATCGAGTATGTGTCTCGTTAATGCTGCGAATGCTTTGCGCTCGACGGAGTGCGAAAACTGGACTCGCGTTTCAATGCAATTATCCTCGAGAGTTCGGAAGGCGTCCCCGAAGTTCTCGGTACGATACAAAACAGTAATAAGAAACGCGAATGATAATGTGACAATGATGCGTAATAACAGATGCACACGCGTCAAATTTATCTTTTTATATAGACTCGATTTAGATTTGAGTTCAGCTTGGGCGATAAATTTAATAAAAATTTACCGCATCGCGCGTGATTATATCTTAATATTTAAAATATTATTTATATTTATAATATTAGATATATATTTTTAAAAATACATATATTAAATATTACACGTATGTATTTAATATTTTAATAATTATCAAGATGTGATATATTAGAGATATAGAAAATGCAACACATACGCAAAATAATAAATATATGTAATATTTTAAATATTAAGCTATAACATACGTGCGGTAAATTTCTATTAAATTTTCTGCCAAAATTAAATTTCACATTTTAAATAAATAAATTTTGATAATAATTATTTATATTATTAATTATTTATATTATTACTTTTTAAATAATTAATACCTGTTTGAAATACTGTGATATTTTTGTTTTGCAAAAACTAACACACTCTCATTGATTTGTAAAGCTGTTTCTAGAACAAGATTTCGCGTTGGCAGATATATATGTGTATATATATATATATGCGCTTTCTATCAGCTCTCCGTTATCGATTTCGTTCACACAGCGTGAACGATTTTCCGTGTACAAAGTTCGACGAGACTATTTGATTTATCACATATTCTTGCAAATGCCGCGCAATGTTACGTCTGCCTTATACGTGCTAACGATGGTTACCTAAAGGCTTGAAATTTGAGTAAACATCCTCATTAGCGTGTACCATGTACGAGACCGTTCATTATTTGCTTACCTTTATTCAAGCGGTAACCATTGTTATTTTTCTGACCACAGTATGTGTGTGTGTGTGTGTGTGTGCGTGTGTATGCGCGCGCTCTCGATTACACAGTTTAATGCTACGTCGTTTACATTCGACGCTTTCGTATATAACTCTACGCAAACTCAGCATAAATATAATATTATATTACAATATTAATTAATGTAAGAGGTTAAGTGTAAACGCCAATAGGCTGATTATTATCATTAATTTACCAATAATATTAATGGCAATAATAATAATAAGTAGTAATAATGACAGTAGCAATAATAATATTAGTTTATTGTAAAAAAGTTTTGTTAGAAAGAAATTAAAATTTCAATATTCTACTTTATTTATGCACACACACGCACACACACACACACACAGTAAAAAAGTCTATTTTAAGATATACCTCATTAAAGTTTAGTAGAGTATCTTATTCTTCAATTCATTTTATTATCATTCTTATATATTCAACGATTTTAGAATGTCATTACATTTTCCTTAATGTAATTAGTTTGAACATTTTTGATATATTTTTTCAAAATTTTTGAATTTTATTTAACGTTCTTTTATTTCGATGAAGTAAACGAGCAACTCTTTTGTGTCGGAAATGCATGTACAATCGCCGCGACCAACCAACCGAAATTACATACGCACGCGGATAATCGAGAGGGCACCGTTATATATTCGACATTTCTCTCTTCCCATCGCATTATTCCGAAGCAACGCTTTTGTTTAGACTCTCTTGTATCATCTCGACACGGGCCGTTTGAAATAAGCAGCTTAGACGCTCTCTTGTATGCAACTACCTACAAATGCTATTTGCACACATACGGGATACGATCCAGAGAAAATTATATACCGCGTTCATTCTCTCTAAAGATACGCACGTGCGAGATAAATAAGCAAATCGAGAAAATAATAAAGTTTCAAAAACGTGCGAAAAAACACGACGTAAACGAGAGAAAGTTATTTGCAATGCAACAGATATTTCAGAAGTTTTTAATACAACAGACGGGACAAAATGTGAAGAAATAATAATTCTTCATTTACACGGCCGTGTGCGATAAAAAGCAGCGTTCAAGTTACGTGTTCACTAAAAACAAAAAAAAAGAAAAAAAAGAACAAGCGATTCTTCACCTTGAGAAGGTAAGTGTCTTATAAAATATGATGATTCCGAGAAAACTGCGATATATTTTGCAGAAAGGTGTTTCGTCTTTACGCGCGTATTTACAAGTCGGCGGCAATGTAATGTCGGAGCTTTCCGCAAGCGTATCTTACCTATGTATATATATATATATATATATAAACTCACCGCGCCTTCGTTACATACGTACCGTCATAGGTGGAGTACGCGACCATAATATCCGCATAGGTGGGAATGCTGTACGTAGTTCTCCTCTGTGTCTTGCTGTCAGTCTCATGAATAATTTTCACCCCTTTGTCCAGTTGTGTCCCGCGGCATGCCTGAGAAAAAGAAACAAAAAAATATTGAGCGCGCGCGAAAGAGGCCGACAATGTCGGGATTTTCCCGCCACGCGTGAAAGATGCATGCGAATCCCGCGGGGGCGTTAGAGTTTTCTTCTCGCGAGCGTCCCGCGAATTGTTTAAAGTGCACGGGCGTTGTAAATCCGATTGGGAACGCCGTTAAAACATTCACGAAGCGAAAAACGTGCAATCACCGCCGATCGACGAGTCACGGATTCAGATCCGAGGATTTCAGGTTGCTTGATTGCGACCCGCATTTCGGATTTAACTCCCGATACGTTTGGGTAATTGCCGTCATAACGGCTTTCAGACTTCGTGTGTGTTCGGAATAAAAATTAACGTGTGTTCTCAGCGCGTACTAATAGCGAAATCGCGTAAGAGATATCGCATTTATGATATGTGTAATGCATTAAAGAGCTGCGTGTTTAATTCTTTCCCGCGCGAATAAGTTTGGACCGAAACGCGGATCGTAGTGGAGAATGAAATTTTTCGCAAAAACGAACCAAAATGACATTCTTTTGGTTTTTTTTCTCCCATCGTTTTTTCATGTTTAGCTCCAGTAATTAGCACCAGTCCGGTTCGTTATTATACGGGATGGGGTTAACGATCCGCGTCGCGATCGGCGTTTCGGATTAGCGAACGTTCGTAGGGCAGGTAGGGAACGTTCGAGACAATCGCACACACGGATTTATCGATGTTTACCGCGTCGTTAACGGAAGACGAGCGACTTGAACGGGAGCGCAGCAAGAAATATAGCGGCCACTTACTTTGTGGCTATCGCGGCTGCACACAGCTTTTAAGCGCAGAAACCGACACTAATTTGATAAAAGCCAACACTGTTGCATTCGCACGTATATTCACAGTGAAATTTGCATCCGTTCGGTTATTTCTACAAATAGCTTACACAAATCAAAACGCGCTCTCAAAATTGTAATTTATATTTACACAATACATCTGTTACAACGACGTTGTCGTTGCGCATCGGATTAGTAGTTAATTTTAGCAATTGATTAATTAATTGAATTTAGTTGATTAACCGCGCGCACACACAAAATAAATTAGTTAAATGTGTTTACCGAAGAAACGAAGTTGCATTTTCCATTTGAATTCGTCTTTCGCGAATGATCGATTCGATATCATTTTTTTTTAACGCAACACAACAACATCCGCGCGAGATTGAATTCCCCTCCCCCCCCCTCTCCCTCGAGTGATGTTTCGAGATGCGTTCGAAGGTGCATCGACAAAGCTACACTTACTTAATCATCCTCGCGATAGCTAACTTTATCGCGCTCATTTATATCCGTCGCACTTTATCTTCGGAATCACCGATTCGCCAGTTCTATTTGAGACGAAAGCGGTAATTTCGGAAAGGTATCTCTGACCAGTTCTGGCTTTCCAGTTCTTTTTCACTCGTGACAAGTAAATTACAATCATTGTCGGGGGGTTAGTCACACTTTTCTCCCTTCCCTCCCCTTGATGGATCGTTCCTGCAAACTCGAAAGGTTTTTTTTTTTTTTTCACGATTGAAAGTTTTGCGAAACTAGTTTTCTTTTAATTCTACATTCTTAATTTTACGAGCTTACTTTAACGTCGCCGCAAGAGACAACGCAAAAACGATATTCCGCGTTCCGCGCGGAACGTAAAAAGTCTTCGTAAAACACTCGGTGCGCCGCGGTCAGTTCTTATTCTTTTTGCCGCGTAGCTATACCTACGCGGCGGTAATCGGGATTTAAATCGTTTTCCTCTCACGTTTAAATTCTCGTATCGCTGAATTGTAAATGTGTAACGATCGGCAATAAATTTCTCGTGATGTATGCGAGTATATGAAATTATGATTCGTATTTTTGCAAATGAAATCACGTCACACACACTTATCTTCTTTTTTGTATATATTATTCGAATATGCGTGTAAAAATTTCTACGCGCGAATAATAAACGCAAACACATATATCCGCGAAGGGAGGTGTTTCAAAGTTTCCACGTCGTTTAAAAAGTGTTCCGAGCGTTCGGGCCGACGAAACATTCGCGCGTCGAGGAGCGGATATGGGCGCGGGAGACGAGAGCGTGGCGGAAATATTCGCGAAAATGAAAAACTAAAAACAAAAAACAAAACAAAAAAAAAAAAAAACGGGTGAAAAAAATAAAATATATGAGTATATCGCTGCGCCGCACGAATCGTCGCGCGACATTTTTTTAATTCAACCGGCGGCGAAATCTCCAAAACGATGCAAGTGTGCATTACTTTGGGAATTATGCAAATAACAGTTTTTGCCGTCGTCGTTGTCGTCCGCTTTTGCCGTTTTCGCGAGGGCGGAGCGGGAGAAAAGAGGGTGGAAGGAAAAGGGAATGGGGGAGAAGTAATCTTAATTACTGCGGCGCATCGTGGCGCGCGCGAACAGGTTCCATTACATTGCAGAATGCACATATTTCATTGGCTACGCCCGCTAAAAACCCGACGGTGCACTAATGTGCGCGAGCCCGCAAATCCCTCGGAGATCGTAGTGAGGCAGATAAATGGGGAATGTCTCTAAATGGAAAACGATCTCCTGCAGGATTACAGAGAAAGGAAGAGGGAGAGGGTGAGCGACAAGGGGAGAGAAAGAAAAGAATTAGATCTAGACCTACCATTGTTGTCGGAATTATGCGACTTAATCGTTTTTGAGATACAGAATCGTTTTTGAGATGCGATCGCCGCGATTATGCTCGTTCTACGACGAAGCGGAGAATAGCGAGAGAAAAAGAGAGAAAAAGAAAGATGAAGAGAAAGAGAGAGAGAGAGAGAGAGAGAGAGAGAGAGAGAGAGAGAGAGAGAGAGAGAGAGAGAGAAAGAGAAAGAGCGTCTCGTGTTTGTAAGTAACTTTCTTTCCGCAGCTCGCGCGCAGTGGCTATCCATTTCGGTATCATTTATTACAACGTCATCTATTCCCATCCATTAGGAGGTAATTACAAGAAATTCAAAAGAAAACTTTGTCGCCGCGGCTGGTAACGAAAAGTGTACGCGAATAATGGATATCAATAACAGATATAAAAAACAAGACACACCCTTAGAAGAAAAGAAATTGCAAACAAGGAAACACAATTTAGAATAAAAATTGTGTGGTGGAAAAGCCTTTGCGAGAGATTGCGAATGGCATAATTGCGAAGTGCATATTTTTTACATTCTTTTTTTTTTTTGTTTTGTTTTGAAAATCTCGTTATAAAGCGATTTAGGATGAAATAAAAGTAACGAGACGTAAATTATATACGAAACATCTGTGTGTCAAATTTTATAAAAGAATGAGTAATGATTTTTTTCCCGACCTGGATATAAGCGACAGTGGATATGTATTTCTCTTCTTCCTCTTGCCGTTACGCTTCAAGCATTCAAGATACTCAATCACATTTCCGACTAACTGAATTTATGCGTCTGTCGCGCAAAGAATATCATACATCAAAATCAATCAGAACGTGTAATTAGTTTTTTCCTGTTTTTTGTTCTACCTTCGTTCATTTGTGATAGCAGTGCCATGTTAAATTATGATTGTACATCGCGAAACGTAATTGCAGTCAACGTACACGCGTCACGCACCGCGCAAGAATCGTATGCAAGTTACAAAATTTGTCACTGATTATTATTCCACATATTTAAGCTATGTAAACTACATAATTTAAATTTGCATAAAGATATTCGGATACAAATTCGAAAAACCGCGCACACACACACAAACACACACATACACAATTCGAACGAAAATAAATAACAAAGCGCCGACAAACACACTTACACACATAAATCATCGCGTTTGAAAAGTAAACCAACGGGAGAAACAAAACGAGAAAAGGGAATTGCATTTTACTTGGAAAACGCAATTAACTTCAACGTCAATTTATACAACGGCGTGTCTTGACTCATAAATCACTTGACGTGATCCGTATAAATCTCTCACGAATTACTCAGCATGTAACACTGCTTAGACGGTTCAGTGGGGATGATCTATCACGGGTGATCGTCCGAGCTGAACGAAAGTGGGAAGTGGCTCCCGCTTCTTTGAAACGCGGTACCGTCATTGTTCGCCGTCGTACTACATACATACACGAGGTCGATTCATCCGCGATTCATGTGTGCGCCGCCGGGGCATACCTGTCAGATGATAGCGTACCTGAATGAAGAACAACTTCGGTTTCCCAGCCAGGGTGGAGCATTGATCGGCCGTGAAGGGAGCCCACAGCATATCGACGGGATACAGGCTGTCGGTCGAATGCAGTAGACCCGATTCCCCGTGCGACATTGCGACCACCATCAGGCAGTCGGCATCCGAGTGGTCTTCCGCAGCGGCTTTAATGAAAGGATTAATTAATTTCTCGCGGTCACGCCGCTAATAGTCGTTGAACGGTTTAGCCAAATAGTCCGTGCACAAGCAAACTACTTTGGGAAATAGAAATTGCTCAGATATATAATTTCCCGTGATGGGGGAGTATCATACCGCGCGATTTTCTACGACGAATCGAAACTCGCGCGCACATGTTCCGCAAAACTAGCGCGATCCAGTAAGCTCTCGACTTCTGGATTTTCGAAACGGCATTAAAAGGAATTAAATACGAAATTCCCCCTCGAGTAGAATTCCGCGCGTCCAAAGTAATTTCTTATTAAGATCTTGGGAGTCGGAAGAGAGAAGAATAAAGTATAGAGTGTAGAATTAGAAGATAACGCGAAATAGATGGAAATTCCTTATTGAAATTACTTCGCGGACGCGCGCTACTGCAGTTTCCTTTTCTCTTCTCTGCGATATGTGTTGAAAGATAATTAAGTTTTGTTTTGTTTTTTTTTTTTACCGATTGCGAGTTAAAAAGTCAAGAATTGCGGGTATTTAAATGAAGCGGTTTGTTTAAATGTTTCTATTGTGACAAATTCATTAACATTTTATCTTTTGTCGCGAAATAGCGGTCACAAATGAAATGTCAAGTTTTCCATTTGCCACACGAGGCAGTTGTTGTTATAGAAAGGCGACTTTCAGAAATAACGATTCTAATTTTTTTTTTTCTACAAACAATACAACAGAGATTGTTTGATCGTTTTGCCTTTAGGGAACATTCAAGATAATCTGTTGTTTTATTTATTACGGTTAAAACGCATCTGCTTTCCGTGTGAGTGACATACGAATTACAGGTGAATGTAAATAACAATATTATTTGATTTACGCTCTGTTTTTCAAGCAAAAATGTTTTATCGAATAAAAAAGATAATTAAGATAAGTAAGTATTGTTGTGTTATTTCGTGTATCCTCTTGCAACTTTGTGAAAAAAAAATGTAAAAATGAAGAGATATTATTTTTTAATATATTCCTTCTCGTGCGTTGTGTGCTTACACGTCAGTCTCGGCACGGAATGCTTTGAAGCGGTTTTTATAAAAGAATTGATTACTTCTTTTTATATCCAAGAAGATAATAACAGTAGAATCTCTTTAGTACGCGTGATGATGTTTACGTACAACAAGTAGCGTGATTGTAGTAATGGACTGTGTTGCAAGATAATAATGGAAAATTATATGAGAAAAACAATTTTTTTTTCTTACTCTTTTTCTCTCCGCACCGCCCACAAAAAAAAAAAACAAAGCTGTGCGCGCAAACATTAGAGAATCTGGGAACACGAAAAATTGTTGCGCGGCTCCACGCGGTGGCAAACACGTACCAGTTTCTGCATTAACTCGAACGCGCAACGTTCAAATATCTCTACGAGATATTGTTGTTTTTTTTTTTATTAAACTCTCTTCGTCTTTTATCATCTTTTCTCAATTTGATTTATTACGAAGATTACAGCGAATTGTTTGTAGTCGTTTTTTGTTTGATCTCGGTCTATCGGGTTCTTTCTTGGCGCAGCTTATTAAAATGTGTTTTTCTTTTATTCCGATCGAATCTCTCATGCGTGACTTTATGTACCATGTATCTTGGATGCGGACCTTTAAAGCGGAATCTCGAACGTGAGAGAGTAGCGGTTAACAGAAAATATGGAAACAGGAAGCGCGTATATTTTACGCAAACGCTCGCGTGCCTTTTTGTTTCCCTCCTCGCTATCTTTCACACGAGGCGGTAGTTAGAATATTATAAAAAAGCGAATTTTAAAACCGCGACTTCAATTGTTTTTCTTATTTTTTATCAAATACAATCTATGTTGTTTTGATGTAAAAATAAATTAACGGTGTAAATAAATGAACACCGTTTATAAATGAACGGAGTTGGTTTCAAAAATTTGTTTATTGTTAAATTTTGTTATAAATTTGAGTTGTAAAATAATAAACAAAAAATGAACGCAACAAACAAAAATGTTTCGGTTGGAAAACAATTTTGAAGGGTCTTATATTCTCATCCCCCACCGCTTTGACAACAATCAGAAACATGAGAAGGGAGAAAACCGAGGTAACGGGCGTTTGAAGAAGCGATAGCGCATTCTTCGGTGAGACGCTGACCCGGACGACTGATGGACGGTAAGAGTTTTCCTTTTAGTTTAGTTGCGCTGTGTGTATGTGTGGTGTGTGTGTGTGTGTACGTGTCTCGCTGATACTGTCGCATGTGCTCTCGCTTCACAGTATCAGTTAAGCCTGGAGCTATTGTCGGACGAGTGGAGGATTGCCATGCGCGTCTTTCCCTTGGAATCCAATTGCGTATTCCAAAGTAGCAAGAGTTGGTAGTTGGAGCGGGCACTTCGTGTGTGCTCTTCCTTAGTACCCACTTTGCAGTACTAAACTTCGAAAGAAAGCAAAGCCCGGGGCACATCGAGTGGACACATTGCGCGTCTCTTCCCCGGTGATCCAGGTACTCGGTGTCGCGCGATGAGGGCGTGTGCTTTTCCGTCGCCCCAGGAACACGACACCTCGTGCGTGGTTTCCCTTTGTGTTTCTCGAGAACGTAGCTCCCACAGTAATAAAGATTTGTGGCAAACGAAATAATTCGGGAATGTTCTTCAAACTTGTTTTTTCTTTGCGGTTTCGCAATTTTATTTGTTTTTTTTTTTTTTTTTAATGTATTATTTAGTTTTCTTTTATATATTATTTAATATTGATAACAAACAAGATAACAGTTCGAGCTACCGTTTTTTGTAACTTCTCTCTTACTGCACACAAAACACATTTTTCTTCTTCAGTTTTAATATTGCTTTATCATAACTTGTTGAAGAGATTTAATTACTTCTTTACGTTTCTTTTTTGAAAAATCTAAGAAATCTGTGCATTTTACAATCTCTGTATATTTCTATCAAGACGTTCTTTTTCCTCTTTTCTTTTTCTCGAATCTCATCAACGTTGTTTATGTTTTCTCCGTAGATATTAAGTAAACTCCTTTTCACAGATATCAAGATTGTTCGTTAGATACTTTATAACAACCGCAGCTTCTTTTCCCCTTTGACGCGTATAATTGTCAATATATAACACGGAAAGGTTCTTCTCACATCAGCGGGAGAAACATCGATCTTTGTTTCCGAGTAAAGGCATTAACGTCCAAGAACGGTCGATAATCCAATTAATCCACACCGCCTCGGTCCGGTAATCTCGACGTGGTTGTAATTAAGGAGTTGGGTATAAATCGCATAAAGAGCAACGACGGCGGTGGTTGCAAAATCGGCGTGTTTGGTTCGCGAGCTCTATGATACGCTGTCAGAAAAATGTTTCGCGAAAAAAAAGAAACTCTCGCGTGATTACGCGAAACGACGTTTCCGCTCTCGCGCTCTCTGTTAGGTTCGTTCTTTTCTGAAAGAACGCGTTTCCCTCCGAGTTTCTGCCTTGAGCCGTAATGGAAATCTACTTTGCGTAGTTTTCATATCTCACTTGCGGAGAAGGAAAAAATTTTCTTTCATGTGAACAAAAAAAAAAAAAAGTAATGTTATGTATAATGCAATGATTATCCGATTACCGCCGTCGGCGTACTGTCTCGTCGTGGATGAGAAAAATAATTAAGTAAGACAATACTCTTTACGGCAAAACCAATTATCTGATATTATCTCAAAAACCGCAAGATTATCTTCCCTTGTGCTCGTTAACTAGCTTTTGTAACCTTTTTTTTCTTCTCAAAAAAAAAAAAAGAGAAAGAAAGAGAAAAAGGAAATATCTACTTCTAACTGATCAAAGAACCTTATTACACGAAACATACGTGTGAATTTGAGTTTTTTGTGTGGCACGAGATTGTGATATATAGACCGTAACATTTCGACTGTAATCATTCCGTTGCTCCATTGAACATCACCAGTATCATTTATCAAAAAGAAAAAAAAAGAAAAGAAAAAAGCATATCCATGAACAAAACAGTAGCTGCGCGGGCAACATTTTCTCCGTTCTGACGTCATAATTCAAAGCGCTCGACGTGCAGGTATCGTCGTCGCTCGAGCGTCGAAGTATAAATCGTCCGGGAGCGCGCAGTCGGCGCGCTGTAAATTCCGCTTGGCGATGTACGCTGTGGCGCTACGTACACGAGCGGTTAACAAGCCGATGCGGCGCTCCTGCTAATAATATTCTAGCGAAATATCTCGCGATGAAGGAACGCGGGCAATAGGTCGCTTTCGATCGATATAGCCGGGACGCGCGCTATAAATTCGAAAGTTTAATATCAGGCGTCGGCTGATAGTTCGCGAAAATCCACTCTCGCGAACGCAAGAGATGAATTGAACGTTGCGCGCGTCATGTACTTCTCTCTCGATAGTGCGTATCAGAGCTGGATAGAGAAGAGCAAGTTGCATCGCTCGTCGAAATATTAAAGAATATAAACGAGATTTGCGAGCTCTCTGTTAATTTAAAAAAGAGATGTCTTTCTCTCTCTCTCTCACGCACACATACACGTACACAAAATCACTTCCGGTCTCGTAACCTTCATATTTAGTTAGCAAGTATATGAAGTCGACTCCTGCATGTCAACGAGTATTAGATTGCTCACTAGTTTTACTATTCGACGGAAAACTAGTGAAAAAAATGTGAAAACGTACGTGCGAAGTATTTTTTTTTATGAAAGGAAATTTGCAAAGCAAAAAATTCGGCTCACATTATGTGTATGCTGAGAATATGCAATAGGTGAGAAATATTCGCATGGAATATATATTGGAACGATGTCGTTCCGCGATACAACATCGAAAAAAAGATTTGGACAACTTAAGAAATGTATGTATGTGTGTGTAAGAAAGGAAGAGAAAGAGATAGAATATATATACATATATAATTGCAACTTTTGTGAGCGAAATTGCGTGAGTTATTGCGTGAAACACGAAGAAATTGTGAGGCAAAGAGTTGACATGTTCTCTGGCACTCTGCCAATTTCTATATTTCGATTTTCGTCGGGAAAATAGAATTTGCCGATGTTT